TCCCCCCTTCACTCTGCTCCCCCCTTCACTCTGCTCCCCCCTTCACTCTGCTCCCCCCTTCACTCTGCTCCCCCCTTCACTCTGCTCCCCCCTTCACTCTGTTTCCTCCCCCGCTCTGCTGTCCCAAACTCAGCTTCGCTCGCCCCCCCCTCTCAACAATCTGCTCCCCCTGTATGAGCCATCTCCCTCTCCACTTCACAGCACCAACGGCAGCGACTGAGGTAGGAGCGACTGAGGTAGGAGCGACTGAGGCAGGAGCGACTGAGGTAGGAGCGACTGCGGCAGGAGCAACTGAGGTAGGAGCGACTGCGGTAGGAGCGACTGTGGTAGGAGCGACTGAGGCAGCAGCTGCGGTCCCATCACCACTGGTGCCACTGCGGGACTCTCTTCTGCTCCCACAGCTGCTGCCACTGTTGGTTTTCTCTGCTGCTGCTGTCACTGCTGGCCTCTCTTCTGCAGCTGCTTCTGCTTTGGTTGCTGCACATCTCCTTAGCTCCTCCACTCCACTTCACCTGTCCTCCTATCACTTCACAGCACCAGAAGCAGCACACTGGAGGGAGGTAGGAGCGAGCGAGGTAGCAGCTGCCCTCTTCATGAGTGAGGAGAGAGGTAGGAGTGCTGATAGGCCGTCTCCTCTGCTCCCCTGCTGCAGCGCGCAACACTTCCTCTCCTCCCTCATTCTGCTCCCCCATTCACATCTGCCCGGTCTCCTTTGCGCCTCTGCTCCATCTGCTTCTCCTCTGCTCCATCTGCTTCTCCTCTGCTCCATCTGCTTCTCCTCTACTGCTTCACCTCCTCTCCTAGGCTGCTCTGCCTCCTCTGCTACTCCTTCTCCTCGCTGCTCCTTCTCCTCTGCCTCGACCGACCTTCTGTGATGGGAGGGGAATAGCACAAGGCCAATGAGACCATAGCACCGACTGCACCCTATCCACAAAAACAACTCAAAGCAGTTGCGAAATGATTCAGGCAACAAACAAAGAAAACAGCTAAAGGAAGTTAGATGATCACCAGTGGCAGTGAAGATTTATCGACCATCGTGCTCCTTCGCTCCACCTCAGCTGCTGTTCCACCTCTCCTCAGATGAGTTTCTGCTCCTCATCTCCTCCTCACCTGAGCCGTCGCTCCTCTGCTCCTCATCTCCTCCTCAGCTGAGCCAACCCGTCCATGTCCTGCGGGATGGGAGGAGAAGCCTCAGGGCGCATGAGACCATTGAACCAACTGAACCCAGTGCCAAGGCTCAGGGAAACGCAAATAGAACAAAGCAACAACCATGCATCTGAACCAACAGGAAGACTGAAAGCAGGAAACTTGATCACCATCGCCAGCAGAGAGTCCGTCCATTACTGTGCTCCATGACCCCTTTGCTTCTCTGCACTGCTGCTCCTCTCCTCCTCTGCTCCTTCTCTCCTTGCCACTCTCCTCTGCTCTTCTCCTCCGCTCCTCGCTCCTTCTCCTCTGCTCCTCGCTCCTCCTCCTAAGCTCCTCGCCTCCTCCGCTCCTCAGCACCCCTGCTCCTCTCCTCCTCTCCGCCTGCGATCCTTACCTCCTTGCTCCACTCCTCTCCTCCTTCACTCCTTCGCCTCCTCTGCAGTGGCAAAGGATTCCCCTTCACTCCTTCGCCTCCTCTGCACTGGCAGAAAATTCTCCTTCACTCCTTCGCCTCCTCTGCAGTGCCAGAGGATTCCCCTTCACTGCTTCGCCTCCTCTGCTGTGACAAAGGATTCCCCTTCACTCCTTCGCCTCCTCTGCACTGGCAGAAAATTCTCCTTCACTCCTTCGCCTCCTCTGCAGTGCCAGAGGATTCCCCTTCACTGCTTCGCCTCCTCTGCTGTGACAAAGGATTCCCCTTCACTCCTTCGCCTCCTCTGCAGTGCCAGAGGATTCCCCTTCACTCCTTCGCCTCCTCTGCACTGGCAGAGGATTCCCCTTCACTCCTCTGCTCCTCCTCTCCTCCTCCTCCCTCCTCCTCTCCTCCTCCTCTCCTCCTCCACTCCTCCTCCTCTCCTCCTCCACTCCTCCTCCACTCCTCCTCCTCTCCTCCTCCTATGGCCCTCCTCTCCTCCTCCTCTCCTCCTCTGGCCCTCCTCTCCTCCTCCTCTCCTCCTCCTCTACTCCTCTCCTCCTCCTCTCCTCCCCCGTTCCTCTTGCCGCCGTGCCTTGATCCCTTTCTGAAAGCAGCACACAAACAACATTAGTACGAGTGGGAAAACAGCAAGCAGAAATGGAACAAGGCTCACCGAGGGGGGCGCGAGCAGTCGTGCCTTGATCCCTATCTGAAAGCAGCACACAAACAACATTAGTACGAGTGGGAAAACAGCAAGCAGAAATGGAACAAGGCTCACCGAGGGGGGCGCGAGCAGTCGTGCCTTGATCCCTATCTGAAACACGCACACAAACAACATTAGTACGAGTGGAAAAACAGCAAGCAGAAATGGAACAAGGCTCACCGAGGGGGGCGCGAGCCGTCATTGTCTTGCTGGCGGCTAAAACTGAAAAAACTCACAAAACATGCAACATTAGGCATTAGACAAAACGAAAGAATGAAAACCAGACTGCATCTTACAGCAGGTCTCGTGTTGCTTCTGCGTTCCGCTATTGTCCCGCCCTTAGTGTTGCCTCCGCGCTTAGCGCTGTTGCTGTACCTAGTAGAGAGGGAGGCATAAATTTGATCCTTTGCCCCCCAGGGAGCAAAGCATGCGCCTCACTTGAAGCTGCTCCTTCCTCCAGTCTTGCTTCAGGACCAGCTGTGCAATTTTGCTCACTGCAAGTTTTGCAGTGAGACACAAGCAAAAGGATTTTGAGATGAGTCGTCTCTCAAAACCCTGGTTTTGCTCACTGCAGTGAGGAGAAGAGAGAGAGCGAGAGCGAGAGAGAGTTTCACGCTTGAAACTCACAAGAGAGTGAGTTTTGAGATGGCTCTCAAAACTCAGAGAAGAGGAGAGAGGAGGAATGGAACACTGCAGTGCACTGCAGGACACAACAGAACTGCCACCGGCAGCTCACAACTGGATTTGAGGCGCCTCAAACCAGCATACGAGGTCCTCACACCTCACTCTCACTCTCAATCTGACTCTCACTCGCTCCTCCCCTCACCCTCACACTGCAGCCTGCTGCAGTTCTCAACAATCCGCTCGCCTCTCACTCGCTCTCCTCACATCCTATCTATGCTCCTCCCAGCAGGTCCCGCTGCTGCTGCTGCTACTGCTGCTCCCCGCTGCTGCTGCTGCCACTGGTAGTGTCATTGCGGGCCTCTCTTCTCCCGCAACCACTGCTGCCACCGCTGGTGTCATCGTTGGTTCTCTCTTCTGGTGTCATTGCGGGCCTCACTTCTGCTCCCACTGCTGCTGCCACCGCTGATGCCAGTCCAGCTGTCTCCTCCCTTCCCTGCGCCACCTGATGCCAGTCCAGCTCTCTTCTGCTGCAAGCAACTGCACTGCGGGCCTCACTTCTGCTCCCACTGCTGCTGCCACCGCTGGTGTCACTGCTGGTTTTCCCTTCTGCTGCAATCGGAAGTGTCAACGCGGACCTCTCTTCTCCTGCAACCGCTGCTGCCACCGCTGGTGTCATCGTTGGTTCTCTCTTCTGCTGTCATTGCGGGCCTCTCTTCTACTTCCACTGCTGCTGCCACCGCTGCTGTCACTGCGGGCCTCTCTTCTGCTCCCACTGCTGCTGCCACCGCCGGTGACTCTGTTGGTTTCTCTTCTGCTGCAACCGGTGATGTCATTGCGGGCCTCTCTTCAACTTCCACTGCTGCTGCCACCGCTGGTGTCACTGCTGGTTTTCCCTTCTGCTGCAACCAGAAGTGTCATTGCGGGCCTCTCTTCTCCTGCAACCGCTGCTGCCACCGCTGGTGTCATCGTTGGTTCTCTCTTCTGGTGTCAGTGCGGGCCTCTCTTCTTCTCCCACTGCTGCTGCCACCGCTGATGCCAGTCCAGCTGTCTCCTCCCTTCCCTGCTCCATCATTCCGTTGACTCTCCTCCCTTCCCTGCCACCTGATGCCAGTCCAGCTGTCTCCTCTCCTCCCTGCTCCATCTGACTCCAGCGTTGGAAAGAAGAGCAGCTCCAGCTCATGCCGTTGACTCGCCGGGCACAGCATCAAGTAGCGCCATGAGGTGAGAGGACTTCAGCAGGTCCTGTCTTCTGCTGTTGCTGTTCATCCCACTTCTGCTACTGCCACAGCTGCAGCTGCTCTGCAGCCGCGGCCGCTCTCCTCCTGCAGTCTCTGCCAATGATGCTTCTTGTCGCTGCTTCTCCAACTTCCCACCCATGCCGTAACGTTCCCTGCACAGCACAGCGTAGAGGTGCATTGAGCAGAGTAAATAATTAGCGTAGACGAGAAGACTTTTGAGTCGACTCAAACAGAGTATTTGTTAGGACTTGATGTAGTGAATTGGCAGAGCAAAGGGAAACGAGTACAAGGCTAAAAACAGAGAGCGGAGACACGAGGAAGAACACAAAAGCCATAGAAGCTACGAAGGCAGATGGAAACGCACAGGAGGGAGAGGGGAGGAAGAGCAGAAGGAAGCAAGGGGGGTGTTCTGTCACGGCTCCAGTTACTCACTTGTTGCTCCAGTCGCTGCTGCTCCTGCGGATGCTGCCACTGCAGATGCTTCTCCTGTTGCTGCTTCTCCGTTTCCCCAGCAACGCCTCACCGTCCTTCCCTGCACAAGGAACCGCAAGGTGCAACCTCACAGTGGAGGTTAGTAACTGGGTAGAGGTTACAAGTTGACAGAGAAAAAACAGACGACACAATGCACGGAGAACAAGGACGAACAGGAGGAGGAGGAGGAGGAGGAAAAGGAGAGGGAGGAGGAGGAGGAGGAGGAGGAGGAGGAGGAAGGGAGGGCTGTTACTGGCAAGGCTACACCCACAAGCCACAGACGCAAGGGAGGTGTTTTGACTCTTACACTTGGTCTTCTTCGTTGCAGCGGGGGGCAAAGGCCGGATGCACTTACGGTGGGCCATTTACCCCGAAGTACCCAAGGGAAGGGGGTTACCGGATGCTCTTACACTGGGGCCGTTGCCCGAAGTACCAAAGGGGTAAGCGCCTGTGCCCCGTGGGGTTCACCTCAACCAGCAACGACAGAGGAGGAGGAGGATGAGAGGGAGAAGGAGAAGGCAAGGAGGAGGAGGAGGAGGAGGAGGAGGAGGAGGAGGAGGAGGAGGAGGAGGAGGAGGAGGAGGAGGAGGAGGAGGAGGAGGAGGAGGAGGAGGAGGAGGAGGAGGATGAGGAGGAGGAGGAGGAGGAGAAGGAGGAGGAGGAGGAGGAGGAGGAGGAGGAGGAGGAGGAGGAGGAGGAGGAGGAGGAGGAGGAGGAGGAGGAGGAGGAGGAGGAGGAGGAGGAGGAGGAGGAGGAGGAGGCAATGATGGGGTGTGTACGGAGCATGGAAACTGAAAAAGGGGTTAGGGATAGGGAACTTAGCTGTTTGTTGGTTGGCGTTGGCGTTGGATTGGTGTCGCACCATCCCATGCCATCTTCTCTCGCCCACGCCCCTTCTCTGTTTCTTTCGCCCACGCCTCCCCCTGATGCATCCGCGCCTCCACCTGATGCATCCGCGCCTCCCCCTGATGCATCCGCGCCTCCCCCTGATGCATCCGCGCCTCCACCTGATGCATCCGCTCCTCCACCTGATGCATCCGCTCCTCCACCTGATGCATCCGCTCCTCCACCTGATGCATCCGCTCCTCCACCTGATGCATCCGCTCCTCCACCTGATGCATCCGCTCCTCCACCTGATGCATCCGCTCCTCCACCTGATGCATCCACTCCTCCACCTGATGCATCCGCTCCTCCACCTGATGCATCCGCTCCTCCACCTGATGCATCCGCTCCTCCACCTGATGCATCCGCTCCATGCTCAACGCCAGTCACCATCTTCTCTCGCCAGCGTTTCTCCCGCGGACGCAGCAGCACAGCTCAGACCAGCAGCACCGCTCCAAATTAGCAGATTAATGCGCTTCCGCTCCTGCATGGACGGAGACAGATTAATGCGCAGTGAGTGACATACACCATGATTTGAATGTGCAGAAGCCGAAATGTGCAGTTTCAATAGCAACTGGAGATGATACGAGCATAGAGAGCAACAGGAGATTAAAGCAAAACATCCGTCATAAAAACGTTTACTCTACTGGTCGAGCGTCTTGCGATGAGAACTTACCACAAGCGGCTTCGTGAGCATGGTAGCGATGCTCTTACTACGGCCCCGCGCTGCTCCCGCGACGAATGTGCGCTGCTCGCTCATGCATCCGCGCTGCTCTCGTCACGCATGCGCGATGCTCCTGTGACGCACATCCGCGCTGCTCGCATGACGCATCCGCGATGCTCCCGTGACGAATCCGCGCTGCTTGCAAGACGCATCCGCGCTGCTCGCATGTCGCATCCGCGATGCTCCCGTGACAAATTCGCGCTGTTCGCATGACGCATCCGCGCCGCTCTTGTGACGAATCCGCGCTGCTCGCATGACGCATCCGCGCTGCTCGCATGACGCATCCGCGCTGCTCTTGTGACGAATCCGCGCAGCTCGCTTGACGCATCCGGTTTGTTCAGTACCGCAGAGAGCGATGGGAGTCGAGGAGAATCCCTTTTCAAGCGATCAAGCCCTCATGTCCCTCCCCGTCAGTTGTCCCTCGCGATGCTCCGCGCTCCTTCATCAGCGACGGATTTCTTCGTTGGAGTCGCAAACGTCGTCGGTAGTACTAGAAGTAGTGGCCTTGGAGTGAGGAGAACAGGCGTTCGTCTTCAGATTGAACCGCCGCAGGCGTTCAGAGGTTCACCAGAGATACCACCAGGGACACCGTATTCGGAGAACAGCTGACGAGATTGAAGCGTCGTCGTATCTTGCGTCGTATTCAGAAGTTGAACTGTCGCAGGCGTTCGTATTCAGATTGAACTGTCGCAGGCGTTCGTATTCAGATTGAACCGTCGCAGGCGTTCGTACTCAGATTGAACCGTCGCGCAGGATAGGTGCGCGAGGTCAGTTGATGAGATTGAACCGTCGCATTGTGCGAGATTCGTAAGCGCCGTGAGCGTTGACGGTTTCAAAGCGACAGCCTTCTCGTAAGGACAACCTCCTCCGATCAATGATACTAGTAGTAGCGCTAAGCGTGGATGGCATAAACTTCACGATGAATCGTCGTAGAAATGTTTAACCTCAAGGAAAACTGTAGCATCACGACTCGTCGAGCACGAAACTGATCCGATCATGACACTGACATATGAGCCATAGATCAAATACTAGCGACGACGAGATCTTTCTCACTAGGCTCTAGGATCCTGCTATCATCTTCCTTAAGAATTTTAAGCTTAACGCGCTTCGGGAATAGGCCACGTCACGAGAATTACCCCCACGGTACAATACTCTAAGGAAGCCATGGCTACGGACGAATTGAGTTAGAGAATGTGACGAAATTCGTTTCTGAGACGAAGCCTGCATAGGGAATGCCTGAGGAATGGGTGACTCGGCTGGAGGTGAAGTGACGAAAAAAAAAGGGGAAAACGAGTTTCAGTACGGTGGTGCAGGTTTCAGGCAAGTGAAAAAGGGTAAAGCGTGTTCAAGAATGGTGTAAGAAGGTGACCCAAAGTGAGGTGGGGTGATGGTAAGAGAAAGGTGAAAGGGAAGGAACTGAGCTGCAAGGAGCGGCAAGTCGAGTCGCCATGCGCCGTGCTCCCCTCCACCCAAAGGGGCAGAGTTCCCCGAAGGCCAGGGTTCCCCCCGCCACGGCAAGCCCGAGGCGGGGAAGTCGCTGCAAAGTCCGCTGACGAGTTCCGCGCTGTAATCGCAGAACGTCCGCCAACGATGTGCGCTGAAGAGGCGGGAACGGCGGAAAGTGGTGGGTGTCAGCCAGCGACACCTTTGGCGACCAGATGGCCTATGCCCGGGCAAGAGCCGCCGAGTGCGAAGCTATGAGTGAGATGAGAACGAATTGTTGTCTTAAAGCGGTTACGACCGATATTGTTTGTATGCATCAACTACACCATGTATACTTACAATTAAAAAAAAACAAGAGGCGACGGAAGTCGTCGTAGGGTTGCGAAGCTTTTTCAATTTGGAAAAACAATCGCTAAAATAAGTTCTTGGTAAGGTGATGTCCAAGAGATTCGAACCTAAAACCATTCAAATCTCAGTTGACATTCAATCGACTGAGCTACATGCCCCGTATCGGTTCGCGCGTTTTAATCTCACGTAAAGTATCAATGCGACGAAGTTTGCATTCCCTAGGGTTTCATTTCTTCCCTTTTTTTCTCGCTGCTTCCTCTCCCTAGCAGCAGACGCTAGTTCTTGCTTGTCTTCTCTCCTAGACACACTGGTATGTTCGTTTTTTCCCTAGATTGCATCTTCGTCAGCTCAAGTATATAGTTGTCGCGATATAGTTCCCTTCAATTTCGTTTTCCAGCTATGACACTTTTTGGTTTTCTGGTCGTTATTTCGTTTTCTCAACTTTGATTTCCACCTCATTGCTCAGTAACGTAGCCGTTTTCCTTATTCCTTTCTCTTCCGTTTTTACTCGTCGTAGTTTTCGTGCATACTCTTTTTTCTACATTTTCTCGTTCTCGTTCTCTCTCTCTCTCTCTCTCTCTCTCTCTCTCTCTCTCTCTCTCTCTCTCTCTCTCTCTCTCTCTCTCTCTCTCTCTCTCTCTCTCTCTCCCTCTCTCTCTCTCTCTCTCTCTCTCTCTATCTCTTTCGTCGTTCTTTCTCTCGTTCTCTCTCTCTCGTTCTCTCTCTCTCTCTCTCTCTCTCGTTCTCTCTCTCTCTCTCTCTCTCTCTTTTGTTGTCTCTCTCTCTTTCTCTCGTTCTCTCTCTCGTTCTCTTTCTCTCTCGTTTTCTTTCTCTCTCTTTCTCTCTCTCTCTCTCTCTCTCTCTTTCTCGTTTTCTTTTTCTCTCGTTCTCTCTTTCTCTCTCTCTCTCTCTCTCTCTCTCTCTCTCTCTCTCTCTCTCTCTCTCTCTCTCTCTCTCTCGCTCTCTCTCTCTCTCTCTCAGGTTTGTTCTCTCTCGTTCTCTCTCTCTCTCTCTCTCTCTCTCTCTCTTCTCTCTCTCTCTCTCCTTCTCTCTCTCTCTCTCTCTCTCTCTCTCTCTCTCTCGTTCTCTCTCTGTTTCACAGCTAAGGTATATCGTTTTTCCTGTTTGTTACTTGCTCTATTTTTTGCGTTCTGCTTTTTAACGTATAGCGTTGTTCATCATTTTTTTACCTTACCACCATTAGATTGCATTCTGTTTGGCTATTATAATATTCTCCTCATTTGACTTACTTTCTTTTCAATTTTCTCACATTTTGATAATTCTTTTCTTCTCTCCGCTCTTCCTTCTTTCCCTCTCCTTCATTCGGTGCCTATTTGTTTTTCCAGATTTCCTTCTGGCTTTCGTTCCAGATGTGTACATCTGCCAAGATTACTTGTGAAGTGGATAGTAGTGGTAATCTGTAGGATTGTTTTGTATTGCATGTTTTGTTGTTTTTAGAGTTTTTTTCATTTACGGTTTTTTTTTTTCCGTTTGTGTGAATGTGTGTGATCTTGTATATGTGTTTGTATGTGTGTGTGTGCCTTTGTGTGTGTGTGTGTGCTGTGGCTGTGTGCATTCATCCGTATCCATTGCAATAACAACGCACGTCTTTGATCTTTAAAAAGAAATCTCAAATCTATCATTTCACAAAAGGTTCATTGGCGCACTCAGTGACTCGTGTGCGACCACTTCGAACTGGATTTGATAGAGATGACTTTCTTTTTAGATTTCACAGATTGTGTTGTTTCATGTGGTAGTTGATTATTCAAAAGCTAAGCTATTTACCTCCCCCCCATGCTAGGCAGGGGACGGCGGTAGCTTAGTTTTTGGGTTTTTAACTGTCACGCATTTTACCATGTGCATGCGCATCATTCATGATATATCACACGCATTATATAGCATTATTTATGCATTATGCATTGTATAGCATCATTTATGCATTGTGCATGCATCAATTTATTATCACACAACACCATTCAACAATAAAACATATACGGTAATGCAAACAGTACAGCAAATCTGCACTAAACAACTGCAAAAAAATTCATATGGTCTAATACACTGTGAACAGTACCGTAGTCAAGACTGCTTAACATGCATATGTTAAACTGCATTATGCTTGTAGGCTGTAGTGGGGTAGCCAATATGGGGTACAACCCCAACTAGGGTTTGCTACTTGTACCCAACTGTTTCATTCAATGCATCATTCTTGCCTAGTTCTTCTAACATGGTATTCAGAGCAGGAGGTCCCTAGGACCTACCGACCGTTTTTTTAGGGCCCACCACCGCTCGCATGCGGTTACCACGCTACCCCGTGCCCTAGCCTCGTAGCGCCCTCGTTAGCGCCCTCGCGCGCCCCTCGTTAGCGCCCTCGCGCGCCCCTTCGTTAGCGCCCTCGCGCGCCCCTCGTTAGCGCCCTCGCGCGCACCCTCGTTAGCGCCCTCGCGCGCCCCTTCGTTAGCGCCCTCGCGCGCCCCTTCGTTAGCGCCCTCGCGCGCCCCTTGCTAGCGCCCTCGCGCGCCCCTCACTAGCGCCCTCGCGCGCCCCTCGCCGAGCCGCCCGCTCGCAGCCCGCCCGCCCGCTGCCCGCTTCGCGGCCCGCTCGCTACGCAGCCCGCCCGCCCGCTCGCTGCCCGCTTCGCGGCCCGCCCACTTCGCAGCCCGCCCGCCCGCTCGCTGCCCGCTTCGCGGCCCGCCCGCCTCGCAGCCCGCTCGCCCCGCTGCCCGCTTCGCGGCCCGCCCACTTCGCAGCCCGCCCGCCCGCTAGCTGCCCACTTCGCGGCCCGCCCGCATCGCAGCCCGCTCGCCCCGCTGCCCGCTTCGCAGCCCGCCCGCCCGCCCGCTGCCCGCTTGCAGCGTCGCCCGCCCGCCGTGCTGCCCACTCGCAGCGCCGCCTGCCCGCCGCGCTGCCCGCTTCCCGGCCCGTCCGCCGAGCTGCCCGCTCGCAGC